AATCTCTCCAGTTTAACAGCATTAAAATGACTTTCGAGTTTTCATTCACTCAATAGATATTCATTTGAACTAAAACAAATTGACACTGGAGCTAATGTGAATCATGCTAATCATATAGTAGACTAATTGTATGACCAAGAGGGAGTCATCTGCAAATTCCAGATGCCCTTTCTTGCAGCTCCCGGAGCTTCTTTTATTACATTGCTGAGTGAGGCTACTAAAAATCAATGTGGTGATTTTCTGCCATGTTTTTCCATAATTGTGAAGCAAACATGAAGCAACATAATTTAAGAAAACTAACAAACAAACAAAAAAGAAGACATAGAAGATATTGTCCTTAGTCTCCAAAATAGAAAACATTGGCCTTAGCCATGTCCTTTTCCCTTTCACAGTAACAAAAAACCCCAATATGTTCAAGCTTGAAATTGTTTTTCTTTGATTTCTAGGAAAACTAGAATATAAGTAACAAACATACCTCCACAAAGAACTCTCCAACACTTTGCCCATATCAGTGTGATAATATTTGGTAAGGATCAGAATTACCTAAAAGAAAACATACAAAAAGAAAATTATACTATACAGATACAAAGATACATACTTAAATTATGCATATTAACATGCAATAAAATACATGAATTTATAGACTTAAATTCTAAGAATTATTAAGTTATCCATTGTTATCACTGCTTTTTAAAAAGAGGAACATTTCTTCTTTACCTTTTTGTGGTCAAAGAGGCTTACTGCCAAACAGACAAATTGATGCAGCTATTACTTAGAATTATGAAATTAAATGGACTTATTTCTTGCAAAGTGTACATAGGCTTACAGTTTAAATGAACAGATAAAATACAGATTTTTTAAAATTAACATTATAAGTAAACTATAATTAAACTTCTAGTCTTTAGATGCATTCTCACATAATGCTAAACCATCATGCTGTTTGTCTGTTTTTTATATCGGAACTCATTCCATAAATAAAATTGAGGGTTTTCTTTCCTGGCAAAACCTCCTTTGAATTCTTGGCTTAGAGAATGTGGTATGTTCACAATGTAGTTTCATATAATAGCTGAAGCAGAACCTATGGTTTATCTCTGAATTGTTTGTGTTCCTTATTCAAGCCACCTACCAAGGGACAGAGATGGGAGGCAAGGCAAGCTGTTCGTACTGCTCACTTGTTCTCAATGAAGTTTTTCCCAAATTAGCTCTTTGCCTATGTTCTGCTTGGTAACAAGTTTTACTTAATGCCCCCACCCTGTTTTTAAGACTAGCTGCCTACCCTTTCAGCTCTACATCCAGCAGAATGAAAGAGATTTCAAAAGCAAGAAAAAGTAGGGGTCGAGCATAATTTGAGCTTCACAATACCTGGAAAATTGACAGATGTTGATCGTTCAATTTCCTGTGTATTTCCTGTGTATTTTCATTGTGAATATTGGGGGATTTTTAGCTGAAATCTTTATACACGTACTAATTTTACACTAATTTGGATTAAAAGCAGTGGGATTTGAAGCAGAGATTGTAGATTTANACTGGCCGGGCACCAGACAAGCTGGCAAGGCCTTTGCCTTGGGCACTTGGTGAATCTCAGGATTCTTTGCAAAACCCCTGCCAGGCGGGCATCCTCGAGGCACACCCATCCCAGGGGTGGAAGAACGCCTTGTGCAGAATGTGGGCTCAACAAGCCTCTCCTTGACCTGCAGCTTCCCATCCTTCGTGGGGCGTCTGTGGCCCACTAACAAGATCTCCGGCACGCACATCAAAACAAGCCCATAAAATTGTACCCAGTAAAAAGAGAAACCATCAACAACCAATTCACCAACCCCCCCGTGGATCCAACTCACAGAAGAGCTGACTCTTCCTGCTTCGCAGCAGCCGCCACAGGACGGATCCGGTCTCAGGACGGCTGTTCCGACAGGCGCATTTCCCAGGTGTTGCCAGAACTACATCCTTGACTTACAACTACCCATTTAGTGACCTTTCAGAATCACAGATTTGGAAGGGACCCTGGAGGTCATTTAGTCCAACCCCCTGCTCAAGCAAGAGACCCAACACCCATGATGGCAAACCTACGGCACGCGGAGCCCTCTCCGTGGGCATGCCCGGCATCACCTGCTGCTCTTCTGGTTTCCGGCACGCACATGCGCACCAGCAAGCTGGTCTTCACGCACGCCAGAGCACCGGGAACCCGAAGACCAGCTGGCGAGGTGCGCATATGTGTGCCGGAAATCCAAAGACCAGCTAACCGGCACACCCGTGCGCACCTGGCACTCTGGTGCACCTGCGCATTCTGGTTTGGGCTCTGGGTGCCAAAAAGGCTCACCATCACTGCCCTGCGCCATTTCTGACCCGAGGGCAGCCCTGCGTCTTCTTGAAAGCTCCCACAACTTCAGAAGGCAACTTCTGTCCGTTTCAAAATTTTAAAAAACCCTGAAAAAAGTGATTTATGACCAATTTTCACATCTACGACTGCTGCCCCTGGGGCACGCGATCTCCTTTTGCAAACTTCTGACAAGGGAAGTCCAGGGGGAATCCATATTCGCTTAACAACTGTGTTACTAAGTGAACAGAAACGCATTGATTCATTTAAGTGTCAAGAACGGTTGTTAAAGTGGGGCAAAACTCACTTCACAATTGTCTCATTTATCAGTGGAATTTTGAGCCAAACTGCAGCTGAGGATACCTGTAATCAGCTGGGTGTGGAGCTCGGTCGCCAGATCTGGTTGAGGGGGGTGGGGGGTGGCAGCAAACATCAGAGAGAAGTGCCCCCCTCCCAATCTGCCTGCCCCAGGCTCAGATTTAGGCCAGGGAGTTTGCAACTTCCTTTAGCAGCTAAGCAATTTGTCCCTGAAGTCACTCATTCCATGAGATATTACAGAATAACAGAGTTGGAAGGGACCTTGGAGGTCTTCTAGTCCCACCCACTGCTCAAGCAGGAGACCTTCTACCATTCTGGACAAATTGCTGTGTATATAAGGGTGTATATAAGTGTGTTTGTGTCCAACCTTTCAGACTTCAGGGACCACTAAATTCATAATTTTAAATCCCACAGGTCTCTAATATGGATTTTTTTTTTAAAAAGATAACTAGTATTTAGTGCAATATAAAAAAATGCAAATAATTTTTCTGCGGAGCACCAAAATTTTCTCGCGGACCACCAGTTAGTGACTGCTGCTACAGAAGCCCACCGTGTGGTGCAAGCGGAGGACCCCATAAGCACATCCAGACCACCCCAAGAGCCAGAAGTCTGCCCACCGTGCCCTGCAGAGCGAGAACTTCCTCCCTGCCACACCTGGATTGGCAACCTGGCACCGTCCCACCCAGAGCCAGAACGGCAGCTGGCACACCCGGAAGAGCTGCTCCTTAACCCAGCCTGCCTCCCACAACCACCTTTTCTTGCGCTGCCCGCTGCCCCCCTCGCCCGTCACCTCCCCTTCTCCTCGCGGACCCCTCCCCACCTTCAGCCCGCCCCATTGGCGCAAGACCTTCCGGGGGTCTCCTAGACATGGTTTGCGGGGACCCGAAGGCCCGGCGACCCTTCGCCAAGCCCCCCCCCCTGCCTTGCCCCCTGCAGTCCTCAGAGCAGCGGCTTCCCCGGGCTGGTCCCCCCAGTAACCTTGCCCCCTCGACCCCCGCCCCTCCCGGCGAGCCCCACCCGCTGGAGCCCAGCCGGGCGGAGGGGGGGGCTGCAAGAGACCCCCGAGCGGAGCCGCGGCTGCCCC